ATAATAAAAAAGAATTTTTGATATATTTATAACAATCTATTATTGAATGTGATTGATGATATTTGAAAAATTAATTAATTTCAACGAAAGAAAAATTCACAATTCTTAGTTTCTGATGTCATAATATAATATAGCTGTAATAAAGAGAGAAACAATAGATTTAAAAATTGTCAAATTTTACGCTACTAGCGAAAAAATGTTTATTGATATTGTAATAAAAAATTGTAAAGTTATAAAATTATTAAAATTAGTATATTTGCCAATCGCGCGATAATTTTTGTTATAACATTCTCAAATATGATACAGGCTATCAATTAATATTAATATTTGAGACAAAGTATGATTTGAAATTTATATACACTGGTTGTATACATATATAGAATAAAAGGATGGACGATTAGCCATTAATAAATTTTTATTTGTCTCTAAACTTTGCTAAATCTATATTTATACCGAAGTTATTTTCGCAATAATTGTGAGCGTAAGACATAAAATGTCTGAAAATATTAAAGATAAGCATCGATGAGCAAGGATAAGCTTGAATCAGCATGATTCTTTTACTAAGTCAAGGAACGAGAATGTTTATTTTTGAAAGAAATGCATTATAAATGTCGCCTGAAAGATGCAGCTATAAGCTTGCGTGCGAAATGAACGAATTGATCTCTATCGTTGGTACTTTAATGAGACTGTCATATATATTAGCACATTGTTCTTTTTATTACAATCGCTTAGTTTGTTTGCTTGTTGTCTATGTTCTACGAAAAAAAGCATGTAAAGAACATCCCAAGACACTTGAAAGATATTATTGATTCGCGCAATACTTATAATGTAAAAATAATTTATATAAGAAACCGTCTTCCCATATTTTTATCGATTTTAAATAGAAAGTAATTTATCACTCTCTCGATGTATATGCGCACACATATCATTCGTGTAATTATTAAATAATTTTCCTTTTAAAGATTCATTATAAACATTTGTAACATTGAAATCGTTGATAATAATCTATATGTCTCGTCATGCACAATAATAGTAATAATGTCAAAAACCTAATCAGAAAACAATTAATAGCCCTATTTTGGACAATTCTTCGAATAGTATTGAGTGCATATTGAATTCGTATTAAAAGATTCCGAGACAGATGCTTAGTTTGATTATACTTTTGAAGACGCAACGAAAGTAATGCTGTAAATATAAAGAGAAAGAATCATATTTTGTTGTGACGAGTGCGTGTGTGCAAAACGCGTGTAGAAGAGTAAGAGAATATGCGAATACGATAGGGTATCTGTAATAAAGCATATATAAAAGTCGACTTAAGCGAAATAGTATGACAGTAGAATTACAAGAAGATATAAATATTTGCCTGTTAAAAAATTACTATTCTATGTTTATGTTTGATAAAGCTATTTCTACATACTTTAATGAGATACATACTTCTGCTGTAGCTCAGTGATAATTGTTCTTATTTGTGCGTATGTTTATGTATGTATGTATGTATGTATGTATGTATGTATGTATGTATGTATGTATGTATGTATGTATGTATGTATGTATGTATGTATGTATGTATGTATGTATGTATGTATGTATGTATGTATGTATGTATGTATGTATGTATGTATGTATGTATGTATGTATGTATGTATGTATGTATGTATGTATGTATGTATGTATGTATGTATGTATGTATGTATGTATGTATGTATGTATGTATGTATGTATGTATGTATGTATGTATGTATGTATGTATGTATGTATGTATGTATGTATGTATGTATGTATGTATGTATGTATGTATGTATGTATGTATGCATGCATGCATGCATGCATGCATGCATGCATGCATGCATGCATGTATGTATGTATGTATGTATGCATGTATGTATGTATGCGTGGGAACATTTTATGTGCATCGAGGCAACGTGTCCTACAACATTGCACGAATTTTTATCGACGACCTTTCACGGTTGAAAGTAAAACTGTCTAAACTATCTAAAGTGTGAACACTCAGCTGTGACAATCTAGGTTTTAAAATAATGCTTACTAAGAAAAATAAAGAATCTGGCGATGATTGATAAAGAATGAGAATTATAATCGGTTTTCTCAATAGCTTTGTCATATTCGGGATTTATCTGTTCTTATAAAAATTTTCTTATAAAAATAGTCTTTGAGTGTTCTCGAGTTCCCCAACTATTCGAAATTTTGGACTTAATTTGAAAATTTTTTAATTATAAAGATAAGCTATTTAATATTCGAATATTATATTTTAGCTTTATTATTGGTAAGGGCATTGTGATGGCATAGAATTTTCTTTATAAAGAGCTCACGAGTCACATATGAATATGTATTGTATACGCAGATGTTTATGCTGTATCGAGTGTTAACTTAGATGACCAATAGATTATCAATAGTTCGGAATATAAAAATGAAAGTGTTAGAGAATCAATTTTTTTTAGAAAAGCAAAATTTTCGAAAAAATCTCATAATTCTCAAATTTTCAAAAATAAAGAAAACTACATTCCTGAATAGGAAAGTTAGATATGCGGAGAGAAAGAAAAAATTTTATGTTGCTTACTTGCATTAATAAGAGAAATCTTTAAGATAAATGTTTATCGAGATTGAAGTTAAAACGTCTTTAAAACAGTTTATGTGGCGAACATTAAACTGGATTAATCTCAAATCAAAAAATCAATGAGTAATTATAAAGAAACTTTTAAGGATACTATCGTATAGTCCCATTTCATTTGAATTACTATTACTAAAAATTATAGCAAAGATAACTAATGATAACAGACTAAATCATCGATTTATGATTACCACAATAACGTATTGCGGTATTATATTCGTAACTGACACTTAAAACATTCCTTATGGATATTAGATAACAAGATATCAAAATATAGACTTGCTCAAATCACATTTATCTAGAAAACGCATTTGAAATTACGATTATTATCTCGACATGCAAACGCGCAGCGCAAAGTTCAAATGAAATGAAACGATGTTTAGTTTTCAACATTCTCTTAGAATTGCATTGCGTTTCTTAATGAATAATAACCATATGTTGATTTGCGATCGATGTCAGATATCTCGAACAGATATCACGCTCCGCGAGTGAATTTCCAGTCACGAGTAAAAGAAGAAGAAGAAGAAGAGAGAGAGAGAGAGAGAGAGAGAGAGAGAGAGAGAGAAGAAGAGAGA